TCTTCTATATAGATGTGTTGATTAATTGTATCTAATGTCACGAGAACACATTATTTCTCTCTCTCTTTAAAACCTAAGAGTTGTATCTAATCACATAATTAGATACACTCTCTCAAACTCACGCCGGTTCTTACTCTAAGGAGCTCATTGTACAGAAATAATAGTATCATCTTTCATACGTGAAGGATGTTATAGAATCTAGCTAGCGTTAATTGCTTGAAGTTGCTAATACGAAACACTTTGTTTCTGCGTTGTCTAATATCAATTATTTCAAGGTTAATGCTTTTCTAGGAATGCATGTAGGTAATCAAAAAATAATTGATTTATTTTGATTTTAAAAAATGCAACATTATTTGATTATAACAACTTAAAAATGAAGTAATTTAATCTTAACCCGAAAAATAAGATAACCCGATATGGGATCACGAACTCGACAGTTCGAGTAACGCGCTTGTGTTAGTTGGATGTCGCCGAATTAGAGCCAGCGCTAAAAATAAATATTTAAACTGATATCGTATGTATCACAACGAAACCGAAATTGTATTGTTCCTCACTAGATTCATTTGTTGTGTCTTCTCACACACATATAATGCATTATATTTTATCGAAAAAGTGAAAATGTTCGATATTTAACTAACATAGATCGCGGCATCATGAAATTGAACTCATGAATTAAATTATTTTTTCGCATCTTTTTTATGCAGTATTTAAGTAACTTTAGGAATAAAATAGTGTATTTTAATATGTACTTGTTTATTTCAATTACTTTTGAGAAAACATAGCTTTTTAGCAACACTTAAAGCTGGAAAAGTCTCTAGTCGCTAAGTATCACACTACACGGGGTGTTTTTGTAACTACGTGTGTGCAGTTTGAAAATTTAAACACACAACACATAGTTCATCCAATGCTGTTTACTTGTTATTTGCGCACATTGGAGTAGGTTACATTTGCTAAGTTTCGTACCGCATCCTTACAGTTCAGTGGTGCAGCAGTTGTGTGTCAACAATGAACTGGATAGACGAATGATGCTGTAAATTATATAATTTATTTTACTCCAACTAAAAAATAATCAAAATAAAAAAGTTACGTAGCGAAATAAAACAGCATCAAAAAATCTCCCGTTTCGTTTTGTGGCTTTCGTAAAATATGTGAATAAGATAATTGATAGAATCAGGCGTTACTTTGCGGAAATCCATTATAATAAAAATACTAATTACTTCGCAACCTTCCGCTAACTAAATACAACGATGTGACTTACCTGGATTGAAGAGCACCTCCCGCCCTCCCTCAATTACATGCAGTAACTCCGTCACCACTATTCCAGGTAAGACACACCTAATTATTAAAAGGTGTCTTATCTGGAATAGTGGTGTGGAAGTAGTGGTGACGGAGTTAGTGCATGTAATTGAGGGAGGGCGGGAGGTGCTCTTCAATCCAGGTAAGTCACATCATTGTATTTAGTTAGCGGAAGGTTGGGAAGTAATTAGTATTTTTATTATAGGTGAATAAGAGTTTATGAAATGCCAGCAAAAACTTATGGTTTTCGACAGATGGCGATATAAGTACCATGTAATTTACGTCAGAAGCAATTAACTGGAGTTGGGGATCGTTGTTACTAGTTTAAGAATTCTTAGTTCTCACTGATAACATATTCTAATTTTTTTATTGAATAATGGTGACTAACGAGCACTTTGTCTACCTGATAGTAAATGGATGCTGTGGTTCATAGACATCTACATTTATTCTCGATTAAGGATCAAAACGCAGATGCGTTGTCACCCCTGAGGACTAGATAGAATGCTTCATCGCCAGTAAAAAAGGGTTTTCCGGATTTCTACACTCACCATACGAAACACAGCAGTATTAAGCTGCTATTTTACGCTGCTGGTATTGTGAGAGCGTGGTCCTTCCCGGTTGAGCCAAACCATTCATGTTTCAACCATAATATAGCTGCAGCTTGGCTCTATCACGTGGAAAAATTTGCTTCTTAATCGAGATTTACGTGCCTATGGGCCACACCATCCACTTACCATCCGGTAAATTATGCTCTTTTGTGACCATTCACCGGACTACTTTAATGCTTACGCATTTTATAACTCATACCTAATTATGAAAATTGTAAATTATGAGACCAGCGTCATATGGTCATAATGTAATATATGGTACCACAGAATTGTCCTGTATTCGTCAATCGCCTGTCTCTCTCAGACTAATGCAGGGAGCATTCGCACAAAAGGAGAAACCCATGTCAAGCTGTGAACTTTTATAGGCTAATAAAGTAAAATTTAAATAAAACAGAGATACGGCGTCTACTAAATATTCATCTATTCTGTCAGCCATCTTTGCGAAGAGTGCAATTAACAAATATTCGAAAATAAGTCTGGCAGGTGCATTTGAGATCCATTTGCATTTGTAAGTTAGACGATTATTGAAGCGTGTGAAGTTAGCGCACGAGTTCAGTGTATCGTACATTATTTTATAGTACAGGTGACTTAAACGCACGAAAGTTGTGACTAATTCAAATTAAAGAAAAACATTATTTGAAATTAAAATCAAACAAAATGTACTTTCTGAGAATTCTAGATCTAAAATATCAACATCATGTTCGAATGAAGAAGTTGTTAGTAAATATAGAGAATCAACAAGTTTCAGTACAAGAATCACAATATCAAAATCTTTAGATTTAATTAAACGGGACTAAAAGTGCGAGACCCGATTTACAGAAGTTTTGTAGGATGTTTGCTTCTAAGTATGTAAATGATTTATCAAACCTGAATTCACAACGGTCTTATTTTTTTAGCAACTGTAATGTGACGGTTTGGTAATAATAGTAATTGTGTTTTAATAATTGTACTTTAAAAAATACAGTTCAAGCTAAAAATGTACAATAAATTGAAATAGGATTTTATTTTAAGCATTTTTTTTATATTTCGCAATCAAATGATTTAATGTTTTTTTTTTGTAATTTAAAGCATTATAATAGATGTTACTAATTAAAGTTCTATTGTTCTGTATTTTTTATTATGTTTCAATAAATGTTAAAAAATAATTTAAATATTAGAAATTTTATGCGTGACCTAAACGTGGTTTTAAGTCACCATGTACTATAACAATGTTTTGAAAATGTCTGTCCAAGTTTAGCTCTTGTATATGGTGGCACTTGTGGTAATGGAAATAATTATGAAATAATATGTGGTAATAGATTATTTTGTAATTATTTACATTACATGAATTTAAAATAATCCAAAAATATTGAAACATTCATTTTTAACTTTAGTAATTATTATAATCAAAAATTTGTTTTGCAATGTGATGTGACAAATGGTGTCTAGACATTGTCGGTCAACGGAATATACAAACAAATAGCAAAAGCTTACTTACTTCTTAATGAAAATCTGTATTGATTATGGTGCATATATATATATATATATATATATATATATATATATATATATATATATATATATATATATATATATATATAAAGTGTGAATAAAAAGATAAAAACACTGTGTGGTATTGATTACGGCCCTAACACACGACTACAATATTTAGTAATTATTATATTGCATGTGTTCTTAGCCTGATTTGGACAGAATATATTATGATAATATGATGGTAATTGCAATTTTAACACCAAATTTGAGCTCTAAAATATCTTATTCCATTTTTATATAAAAACAAGGATAAGGACTTATTAAAACTATATTATTTGGAGCTCAATGTTAATATATTTTGTAAGGATAAAACAACACTTCCCATGATTAGTACAAAATAAAATTAAATATATTGTTAGTTTTTTTACATAGGTAAAATTTATTTTAAAAGTATAGAACATATGAAGGACTACACACTGAATTGAGATAAAATACTTAGTATACTGACTTTGAAAATGATGTAAGCCACTTTTAGTATTCACAATATGAACTTATTGCATTGGTTATTTGGCAGACCAAAAGAGATTTTCCAACAGTGCATAGGTCATAAAACCTTAGTATATAATTATATAAGTGAAATTTGGAATAGAAGCTGTAAGAAAATCTTCAATTAGACTAGCCGCTACACCTTATATACCGAAACATGAGGACTAAGAATTTTAATATGTGATGTTCCAGCATACAAGTTCAGCTGCACGCAGGCACGAGGGGCCAGCACACACCCAAAGTTAAATTAATTTTAAATATAGTAATAGTTCATAGATAATTTTAATATATTTTGTACAATAAAATACAATTAAGTACAACTTGTAGCAAAGATATTAAAGAGAATAATATTTATCTCAAGTGTTAAAGCTGCAATAACATGTGTGTACGCACAAGGCATATTTACACAGCACACATGCACCGCAACAACACACCATGTGCTGCACACTATAGTACATAATTAATTTTAGTACTTAATAGAATATAAAGACACGCCCAAGCTGAGAACTTCACCACTCACTTTACATATTTCAATGCATGATTAGCCAATGAACATGCCCGTACTTCACTAGCAGATCGCTATTAAATTATACATTGATCGCCGCTTAATATCACAGCTAATAATGCTTTGAAAATTAAAGACTTGTCTAATTTTCACTAATGTAGATAACAATGTAGAGTATAAGTAGACAATCTGAATAAATTTACATTACAATATCATGTCTTTTCATATGAAAAATTTAAAATTACATCACCAAAAATTAAACAGTGCAGCGCATTATAAATAAATGTGCATACCTTAATATTTAATTGACTAAATAAATTTGTTGCCTGCAGATCTGACGTTATTTTAAATATCGAGAGGTAATATCTTAAGAGAAATTTCAACTATTGAAAAAAAGTTAAATCCAAATTTAAAAATATTTAGTATATATTATGACAATTCCCTTCAAATCCACATAGTTATTGTGAATGTGAAATATCATTCCAAAAGCTGAGTCTCCTTCACACATATTTCACTATCACTAAAATAGTGGATCAAAAAGTAAGGATTGAAGAGAAAATGAAGCTAGCACTTCACGAATGTGCATTGCTGTTCACGTGAGGTTTCTTATCCTGTGGCTCAGGTGTGCGCTGGCCATCACGCCTGGGTGGCATGCGTTCATTGATGGCATCAAGACCTTTAGCTTCAGCAAACGATGTAATCTTATGGTTTGGAGAGAAGCCTTGAAGAGCATTCTTTAGCGATGTTTTACCACCAGAGAGCGCACCTAGAGGAAGGGCACCAGTAGGAGTTAAACCTTTTAGTTGCAATACAGATTCACTCTCTTCCCGTAGAACAGAGAACACATGTGCCATCTTGCCAATAGCACGGATTTTATTACGTATAACTTCTTTCCTGAGATTTGCTTCCTCCAATGCATCATCTCCTTCAGACATAAGCTCATCATCAGAACAAATATTTAAGACATTAACCAGCATTTCTGTTACCTTTTCACCAACAAATGGAAGAGACCAAGTGAAGACATCCATGAAGTTAGGCAACCAGTATGGGTGTGGTGAGCAGTTAAATTGTCTGATATTCATTACATTGTCTTCATACTTTAACACAGCAGCCTTATTATTGTAAACATCCAAATAATTAGGAGCAGAGAAAATAGTAATGAGACTTGGAAATCCAGTCGTTTGACTTTTACGGTACATTCGATAACCAGCATCTTGTGCTTCATGAGCTCGTATAATGGACAGTAAATTGTTTCTTTGTAGAAAATCACAACAGGCTGCATAGCTGTAAAAGTAGGAACAACCTCTTACAGAGTTGTGCGAGAAATGCTCAGCATTTTTTTCATTTCCAAAGTCCTCAAGAGGATCAGACCAAAGCAGGTCACACATTGCTCCAAATGCCGGTGGTTCTTTGAATCTATCTAATTTACGAATATCATCTAAGCTGTTAATTTCTGGTGAGAGACCACCATGTACACATAGGAATTGCTGGTTCATGAGAGCAGCAAGTGGTAAGCAGTCAAATGCATCCATACAAGCGTCATATACTTTCTCCGAATATTTTATCTTGCATTCTTGCTTGAACGTAAAGTATTCTGTCAAATGTCGACATTCATGGTTACCGCGTAATAGAAATAATGTTTTCGGATAACATAACTTCAAAGCCCAGAGGTAAAGAACACATTCTATACTAAAATAACCTCGGTCGACATAATCACCTAAGAATAAATACTTGGTGCACGAGGGAGAACCTCCTACTTCGAACAATTTCATCAAATCATAAAACTGGCCATGGACGTCTCCGCACACGGTCACCGGTGAATCAATCTCGATCATAGTTTTTTCTGATCGTAATAAGGTGGCACCATCTTGGATGATGCGTAAAGCCGCATTTTCTTCAATTCGACCCTCTAAGATAAAATGTTGCTTCAGCACGTCTGGTATAGGTTTTCCAGTTTTTTCATCGAATACTTCAGATACTGTGAGCTTGTGACTGGGGGGAAAGCGACACTTTGGATCATACGCTGCGTAGTCGACACTTTATCATTGCTCCCGGACATATTGTCACATAAAAAACACTAGGTCTAATCCATACACGCCACTATTTTCAAAATGGCAGAATAGATATAATACTAAAACAGAATCCCGATTTCACGACAGAGAAACTACTGCGCACTGGAAAACAATGCGCAAACATCTGGCGAGTGGTCAATAAAATAAACAGGGATATCGAGCGCGTTTTATTACTTTTGAACATATCATTTAAATAGGTAGCAACACTGTGTGCAATGTTGCCAACACGGATTTTAAAAAGACCGTAAAACGTTGTATGCCTTAGTATTTTTAGTTTTTTTTTTATATACGTGGAGGAGCCATGCTGCAGTTATATTAGAAGTATAGTTGTAGCACGAATGGGTCGGCTCGACCGGGGAAGGACAACGCTCTCACAGAATACCAGCGTAAAATAGCAGCTTAATACTGCTGTGTTTCGTATGGTGAGTGTAGAGAACCGGAAACCCTTTTTACAGGAAACGAGGCATTCCATCTTAGTCCTTACAGGTGACAATGCATCTGCATTTTGATTCGTAATTGAGGTGGTCTGTGTGCTCGTTTGTCACCCTATCCTATATAAAAAAGTATGATTTGTACTAAAGAGTACTTTAATATGTTATATGTAGTACATATATATAACATATATAATCTTATCGTTGGATCTGTAATTTGTCGGATGACAAGGAACTGTTTTGCAAAAAAAAATCGGACTATAGTAATCGGGGGTCTTAGACAATACTCTACTAATCCCTTAAATTCGATAGTCCGACACTGCCCTGCAAAATGTTTGTCGGATTACCGAGGGTCCACTGTACAGCTATTTCAGAATTATGAACTTGACACAACTGTTGGAGTAAAAGGTAATACTGTTGGTACTGTAGTTTTACGGCATACAATCTAGCTAACGGCCGTTTTGATGCTTATTTACAATATAAAACACAAGCATTTATAGTTTGCCGAATTCGTTTCTCGGTTCGCCTTCGGGTCCGTCCGCTAGTATGTTTGTGGGACTGTCTATTAGTTTGTGCGTTATTTCGACTAGTTTATTGGCTAACTGAATGATTTTTAATCCATAATAGTGTCTGTTTAAGACTTCTTTACATTTAAAAGTACACATAATTCATCGTCACTTATCATAACAAAAGTAAATGCACTAATTCCACGCGGACTAAATCGCGAGTGCAGTTAGTATATAAATTATTATTAGGTTTGTAGTGAAAGAAGTGAGGGTCTACCCACAGAGAGTGAGAGCATCCAATTGCTACATTTCAAATATTTACAGTAACATATAAATTTAAAAAAAATATATATATACAATATTTTAGGAACTAGGTAACTAGTAGTAATCAGTGATGTATGTAGATATTTATAAATAAATCACTTAATGGAATCCAACTACTTTTCGTGATATCCTGGGAAAACTAAAAAATCCTACTTAGAAAAACAGAGACTGCCGACAGAGAGCGAGATTATACATAGATTAAGCTTCAAGTAGGTATTCGGCGTGTGGTCTCCATCTTTATCTATAACTTCATAGGCATTACTCATCCATGAAGTACAACAATATTTGTGACAGTTTATCTAAAAAATACGAAACTTCGTAGGCGTGAGCTGTCAAAATTATCAAGCTAAAGCTGAGTGAAGATGGAGAGGTTATATTAAAGCCGATAGAAAACATTTAGAGCATTTGCTTTAGTTTTAAGAAAATGATGTAATAAAATTATCAACATCATTCCTTTTTTCTAATTTTGTAATTAGGTTAAGAGCGTTTATTCAAATATGCGCAAGTCAAAATCTACGCGATCGCTCTGGAACGATCGTCTGTGTGCGTGACTGCGCGAGGTGGGGCGAGCGCAAGGTTACTAGTGGCATCTAGCACGAATCATCTTGATACTATTGGTACTAAAAGAATAAAATAATTTAAACATAATAGCTTATGTAGTGTATAGAAATAGAAAGCTGATATGTGGAAATTATTTTATGGTTTAAGACATTTATTTTCTCAAACGATTTACAAATCACTTACAGAGAAAATACTTATTATAAAGAAAAAAAAAACATTAAGCCAATTGGTGAGTGAGCTAGTATTATTTTCAGGTATACAAAAAGTACTCTGTAAGTATTATAATAGATCGCTAAAACTTATTTGCTAATTGGGTGTTTAATAATTTATTTAGTAATAATTACACATAAATAGGGTAGTTGCAAAAGTATTCGTACCAAAGCCAAGCAGGCCCTCGTCACTTCGGACACATTAACTATTTCATTGTGTTCAAAATTAATTTATAGTGTTAGCTGTTATTGTTTGTGTTCATATTTTAAAATCATTAGTATATGTGTTACGATAATATAATTAGGTAGTATTTATTTATTTAGTATATTATATATTTAGGAATTAATTTGATTGTAATAGTATAAGCAGTGTTCTACATACGTATAAAATACATACATACATATACATATATACACAAATATATGTATATACATAATTTATACATAATTTATACTGAGCCGTGGTAGCTCAGTGGTTAACGCTCGCTGTAAATATAACAGAACGCGAGTAACCCGGGTGCGCTCCCCCGCCGGTACCAATGAAATTGTTAATTGCAATTTTAAGTGCTGATTTACCACGTGCTCGGCGGTGAAGGAAAACATCGTGAGGAAACCTGCATGTCTGAGGAATAAGAAAAAAAATATTTCGAAGACATGTGAAGTACGTCAACACGCATTTGGGCAGCGCGGCGGACACTTCCTTGCCCTAAACCCTCTCAGAAATGAGGGGAGGCCTGAGCCCAGCAGTGGGACGTATATAGGCTGTAACTTTACTTTACTTTTTACATAATTTATATTGTCTCACACCTATAATCATATTGTATATAAGTAATTTGTATTATTTCTATACTATTGTTTTATTGTAGATATTATTATTTAAATTGTATGTGCACTTTATATATTTTAGATTAGTGCTTTGTGATAATTAAGTTATTATAAAAATCCTTTAAAATGTGGCTTTTTTGTAATTTCTTAAAAGTGGACAGGGATTTTGCTTCTTTAATGGTTTTAGGTAATATGTTGTAGTATTGAGCTCCCTCATAAAGGGCACTCTTTTTTCCATAGTTTATTCTATATATTCTCAAACATAGGTTATTAGCCTGCCTTGTCATACGTTTATCGTAATCTATCTTTTTTGTAAATGTTATTAGAGAGTTAATATCATTAGTAAGTATTTTTCCAATAAAAATGCATACTCATTTTATATTTGTATGTTTGGGCTAGATTAAATATCTTTGTTTCTTTATATATTTGAAAGGTAGGTGATAAATAGCTATATTGGAATAATGTTTTTATGATTTTATTTTGTGTTACTTGTAGTTTTTGCCACGTTGATTTAGTGGCTGAGCCCCATACCCCAATCAAATAATCTAAATGAGGCTTGACCAAAGAGTTATATATGGTATATTTGACATGTCTCGGGAGACATCGAACTATAGTTTTTAAAGCTCCTGTTAATGACTAGATTTTACTATGGATCTTTTCAATATGTTGTTTCTAGGTAAGCTGACTGTCAAGAACAAGGCCTAAATATTTCTCGTTGTTAATTTTGGTTAGTATTTCACCATCAGTAAGAGGATTGTGACTTTAATTTTTTTTATTTTTTGCAGTGAAGATTATGTATTTTGTTTTTGAGGCATTGATTGTTAGTAAGTTTGACTGTAGCCAGATGTATAATATGTGTAAGTCATGCTGAGCTTCACTTAGTACTGATTCTAACGTGTGACCAAAGTAGAAGAGACTGGTGTCGTCGGCGTATAAAGTGATATCTCCCTTTAGTCAAATTTCATATATATTATTTACATAAATAAGGTACAAAAGGGCTCCCAGTATTGATCCCTATGGAATGCCACAATTAACCGGATGGGGGCTACTTTGCTGATTATTAATTTTGACAACTTGAAATCTATCAGAAAGATACGATTTAAAAATACCATGTGTCTTACCTGTGATACCTATGCCTTTTAGTTTTAATAACAGAATGTCATGGTTGACTGTGTCAAAACCTGTTTTAGGTCAATAAAAATACCTAATGTAATTTTTTTTGATCAATATGAAGTCTTATGTAGTTACTAAACCAACAGTTGCAGATACAGTGTTAGACTTTGGGCGGAAACCATATTGCTTTTTATATAGGTAATCAATAGAAGTCAGGTGGTCATATAGTTGTTTATGTAGTATTTTTTCAAATACTTTCGACATTACTGGAAGTACAGATATTGGTCGATGATTGTTTGGGTCTTGTTTGCTTCCGGCTTTAAAAATAGGACTAACCTTTGCTGCTAGTTTTTAGGCTATTTGGAAAATAGCTATCACTTAAGCATTTATTAATACAAATTGCGAGGTTTTCTGCTATATCGTCTATAATACACTTTAAGGATTTTATGTTCATGCCATCTAAAGCGGAACTAGCGTTAGAAAGTAGGTCTTTTATTATTTTCGGTATCTCGTCTGCAGTTATTCGATTTTGATAATTCAGTGTTGTTGTTTTTAGGTTTGTTGTATGACAGTGTTTGTGTAAAGTTTTTATGGTATTTTTGCGGTATTTTATGCAAGTTCAGGGCCTATAGTGGCGAAAAATCTGTTAAAATACTCACAAATTTCTTTAATATTTGAGATTTGACCACTGGGGGTGTTAAAGACCTTAGGTCTGCCACATCTGAATCATTATTTGACAATCTATTAATTAGTTGCCACGTTTTTAAAGGACATTTCTTACAATCTGTGAAAGC